ATTAAAAGCAATAATAAAAATATATAAACAAGTGCAAAAACCATGGCATAAGGGGTATACATTTTGAACTTGGGCACATTGTCTGCTATTAAACTAATAATTTGATTAGGCTATTCAATATTGCAACAGTTGATTCCAGTGCTTAGCTGAAGAAATTATCTTTATTAGGAATTAATTTGTAGGGAAGTTCTCCTGTGCAAACCCACAGATTCTAGCTTTAACAACATTACACATCTGCAATGTCGGGCTCAGAATCAGCAAGAAAACATGCTTTATCTCTCACAAACACGTGCTATATATAGCCAACAGGAGTCTGCCATATGCTTTAAAAAACATTAATTAAGGGCTAGATTGTCCCAGAAAGGCATCTATCTGAATAGGGTGTGTGCCCCAGGAGAAGTGCAATCCCTTCCTGAGCTCTTCAGCATCACTTAGGATTGTCCAGCCTGCTCCCAGGGTCCCACATCTCCCAAGCCCTTTGGGACACTGCACATCCCTAGGGCACATGAAGGAAATAGCTCATTCCTATGCTCTCCTGAGTGCAGGGCCTGCTACTGTCTCTGTTCTTTGCAAAGGGAACTGTTATGTATCAGTCCTTGGCAGAGCACCCCATTTTAAGAACTACATGCAGAATGGATGATTTTAGATTAAGCATTTACCCTAAGACATTAGTGCAACATGATGCGCAGAAGCTAGACTGCTATTTTTGAATGGCATCTGATTGTGAAATGAAACTGCCTGGGTAAGAAAAGTCAGCAGGTCATTCACCTGCCCCCCGGCGGCGGGGCTCTTCCTCCGGAGAGATGCGCCCATGGTGCCTGGCGTTCGGCCTGCAGCTTAAGGCAGGCTCCGCACTGTCGCAAGGGGGCTGCATCTTGCCAGAGCCCATGGCCATCCCACAGCCCTCTAGCCACTTCTGGCTCATTGGGTGCATCATTTCAGATTTGAAGCGGGGGCATTTTAAACTGTGATTCCAGGGGCTACTTAGGCACCTGAAAACTCTAGGTTTTTTTTGCAGATAATAACTTAGAAATTAGCTGTTGATTTCACCTTACCCACAAAAATATTTCCATCAATAATAATTGAAATTTACAGATCGGGAAAGCAAGAAAAATGCTGCTTGAGAACTCGCTAGAGTCAAAATCCAGTGATTTAGACTTCTGAATTAGGCTGGTTACAAATGGACAGGTGAATGAATAGTTAAATCAACAAATCATTTCTGGGTTTTAGGATATTTATTTTGCATATCTTGACATAGGATATTGACACTTTGTGGCTTTTGCAGTGTTGTTGTAGCCATGTTGGTACTAGGATATGAGAGCCACAAGGTGGGTCAGGTAATACCTTTTATTGGACCAACTTCTGTTGGTGAAAGAGAGAAGATTTCGAGCTCCATGGAGCTCTTTTCCGGGTCTGTGAGCCCGTGAGCTCTGTGGAGCTCAAAAGCTTGTCTCTTTCACCAACTATGGTTGGGCCAAAAAAGATATTACCTGACCCACCTTGTCTCCCTCAGTTTGTGTTTTAACAGCTTTAAAGCTTGAACTCTTTGAATATCAACTTCTACTGTCAAATAATTATCTAACCTTCCCCCCCAAATTTCCCAAAACTGTGAAAATTTAAATTAATTAAAAATACAAAAAAGTTTAAAAATAAACAAAAATCGATATTACCCAAAGTTATAAAAAAATAAAAGTTGAATTCTACCAAGCCTACTTATAAGCCACCAGAGCAGCAAGGTTGAAGCGTGAGTGTGGGAGGGCAGAACCTATCCCTGCTAGAGAGAGATCTCAGTTTAAGAGCCTGATACTTTGTCACAATCACACATTGTCCTCACACTAACAGCAGGAACCCCATCGACTTCCAGAGGATGAGTGAGGCTTGCAGGATATAGGATTAAGTTAGCGATGGCAATAAAGAAAGGAGTTTCTTTATTCTTGATGCAGTATAGAAATGTGCACAATGCTTCACCCAATAGCTCAGACAAGGCCCCCCCGTCCCAAGGAATTTCAATATATTGGTGGAAACAGAAACAATTTAAAAAATAAAGCCTGAGGGTGGGGATAGGCAATCAGGGATTGAAAGAAAGGGAGATCACAGCAGGCAGGCACCACCTACTTAATGGTTAATCTGCCATTAAAACTCCAGAGCCACAGTGCTGGGAACATCCCCCCTGGGACAGGGCACAGTGCAGTGAGTCAGTATGCTACTCCCTACCTACTGTGGCCCCCATTCCTGCTCCTGTTCAGATGGGGGCACCCCTGCTCTGGAGGAGTTACCTGGCTTGTCCAGCTGTCCCCTGCAGCTTGGGTCCATCCACCCTCTCCAGCGCTGCATGTCTGAACGCTGCTCACCTGCCTGGCTGCCTCTGTAAGTCCAGCTGGCTCTCGGCAGGTCAGGTGGGCATGGGACTTGGGAGGTACCAAACTCACAGCTCTGCACGGCACCCTGAGCAGTGGCCCAGCCCACCCACCCTTAAGGCCCGCTCTATTTAGCATTGTAACTCAAATGCTAATGAAGAGATGGTGGAAACTTCAGAAGGAAATTAACAGGAAGAGGTAAACAGTGCGGGGAGAGAGGGGTCTGCCAGTCCATTCTGGTATATTTGGGTGTTTAGAGAGACACCCTAGCATCCTTCACTAAGGAAGTAAAATAACAGTGAATTTGTTTCATGACAAAGGGATCTCAGCCAGGCTTTTTTGAAAACACTGGGGAAGGAAAGCTATCTTGTAAGAGATAGATGAATGCCTTGTTGGTTAAATTTTGTTTCCAGAAAGCATGATATGATTTTCTGTGTAACCATTTGTTTCCAATACTCTATTACTTGAATCTCTGTTCTTTGTTAATAAGCTATATGCCTATAGTGACAACAAGAATAAGTTACGTGCTGTGTGTTAAGTGGAGATACTGAGTTAAATTTTACAAGTTGGTATGTACTGTTCCTTTGGGAGTAGCAGATCTAATAGTTCTGTGAGTGTTCAGTGAAACAGGGGCTGAGTACTCCAGAGAGGTGCTTGGAAGACCCGAGTGTTGATGTGTGCCTATTGCTAACCTGTAGAGAGAGAATGAGGCCCACAGAGGCCTGGAAGGTAGTACATGTGTTGCCAGAGGCTGATGGTTTCAGGGAGCCAATCCACAGCAGGTACATACAAGAGTTTGTCACGCTAAGGGCAGGTGATGGGATACTAGATGGGAAAGGCTCTGAGTTACTACAGAGATTCTTTCCCAGGTGTCTGGCTGGTAGAACTTACCCAATTGCTCAGGGTCTTACTGATCACCATATTTGGGGTTGGGAAAGAATTTTCCCCTGGGTCAGATTGGCAGAGACCCTGTTTTTTTTTATCCTTCCTATGCAGCGTGGGACATGGGTCACTGACAGGTTTAAACTAGTATAAATGGTTTAAACTAGTGTAAATTCTCTATAACTTGAAGTCTTTAAACCATGGTTTGAGGACTTCAGTAACACAGCCAGAGGTCAGGGCCTATTACAGGAGCAGGTGGGTGAGGTTCTATAGCCTGCAACATGCAGGAGGTCAGACTACCTGATCATGATGGTCCCTTCTGACCTTAAAGTCTGTGAAGTGGTGGTGAGGTGCCTCAAAACCCTGCGTACCCCCTGTGGGGGGCATTTACTAACTGGAGTAAGTCCTACAGGCTGCACAGCCCCAGTGGTATGGTAGGGGGATGAAGGGAATCAGAGGAACTGAACAGACAGTCACTGAGCCTTAAAATTCCACTTGCCCTGAAGGGTACATTCCACTGAATTGCACTGAGCTCCTGTTAAAAAGACAGCCCCTTCCTGCAAGACAGGTGACATTCTCAGGCCTGAGGGCTGTAGGGAGTAGTGTAGTACAGGAGGAGGAGAGCCTAGCTTACATGAGCCCCTCTCTCTGGGCAACTCTGTAATGCTGGCTGCCATGCAGCCTTGAAGAAGAGGTGTGGTTTTGTGGCTTGTGGAGCAGGTTGCTTTTTCTCCAACCAGTTGCAGAGTCAATATCCACAACTTGCACAGCTCAGAGGGCTACTGACTGTTCTGAATTCACACCCATATTTTCATAGAATTTCAGCTTGAAAAGAATCAATCACATCATCACAAGTGGGAGGACTGTAGAATCTATACACTGCCATGAATAGCTTGTTTTGTGCACTTGGTAGGCAGACAAATGATGTTTCATAGACATCCAAATAATGGTAACTGGAGACTTAGAGGAAAGAAAGCATCAGCTCATTGTTCATACATTTGCTCTCTCACTTACGCAGAACAGGTTTGTGGGCAACAGCTGACATCAAACACTTATTCTCATTCTACAATGTACAGTCTCTTCCCAGATTGCATACAGCACACTGCCCACATACCAAGAAAACACAGTAGGTTAGTAACTTTGATTTTTTTAAAGGCTATCATGTCGGCTAATATCAAATGACTTCTTTTTGCTGGAAAAAATTAGGAATTTCCTTAACTTTGCAAGGGTGTGACCCTGAAGCAAAATGATTTAATATTTACAAAATCTTTTGCAAAACACATTTTCAGGAAACCACAGCAGCAAAGCTTAAGTGAATTTATGAAATAATGTTGGAATCTTTCATGAGAAAAAAACCTCTCAATTTCTGCGTTGGGCTGATGGAATGAAAGATTGAAACTAAATATGTAGAACTATGTCTACAGATGAAAGACAATTACATTAGTGCCCAAACCTGACAAAAATAGACTTTTTAGAAATAATTTTGGTCAGATGTCTGTATCTTGGATTTTAAAAAGCCTGTCAGTAAACTTTCTAAGAGCAATGTTAAGTTTATAAATGTCATGGTGCCTTATTCTTGTGTTACAAGGCAGAACATATAAACAGATTTAGCAGCAGTCCTACAGCAGTAGATTTTTAGTGTAATCATATGTGGTCTAGTAAAAAAAAAATCTGCATTTTCCAAAGGCACTACATTTTTGTTCCTTTGATTAAATGCTTTAAAATAAGTCAGAACAGCAAAACAGAATCAGTTAAACTTACCTTACTTTGGAGCAGATTATATCAAATTTTCCACAACAACGATATGCTTCCTTGGGTTTGTTCCATAAATTTTGCTACTTCAAACAAATAGATACAGGTTGGTGATTCAAAGTCTTTCAGAGAAAAAAGTAAAATGCCTTGATGACAAATAATGCACTTCTCTGAACATGAAAAGTTATTTAAAGCTTGATTCTCTTGTATTAAGTCTTGCAACTGTCTTTCTCAGCTAAACAAATTCCCACCCCTTTTCTCGGACACTTGCCAACTCCTCTAATTTAAAGTGACTGTCAGGCTTGCTATAAAACTGCCATTGGAAAGAGCTCAGTATAGAGGAATGAGCAAGTGCTAACTCCAGGCTGAAGCAGCATGACCTATAGTTCTACCAGCGGGTATAGATTCCCCAGATAATGTGATATAATATTTGGAAAAACATTTAGGACCAAGTTGTCCCCTTTTACACAAAGACATAGGGAAGGGACAAGACTCAAGCTGTTCCTAGCACACACTCCCTTTAATATGGGATTTGGGAGAAGGAGTATTGGCCTCAAAGTGAAGGGAGAGGGTTTGGCCTTGAATACACATTGAATGCAAGGATCCACAGTAGTGGCCTAATCCAAAGCCCACTGAAGTAAAAAAGACTTCCATTGACTTCAATTGGCTTTGGAGTGGGTCCTGAATCCTTGCCCGTCCTGTGCAGATCTCAGAATATCTACTTTCTATGGATTTCCTAATCCTCTATGCTTTTTTCCTGGGCTTCCCACACTTCTCCCAGCAGCATGGCTGGCTTATTGACTGTATTGTTGATCCAGTGTTATGTACTCCCTTCCCAGGAAGGGGGAATGTACAAGTCCTGAGTTGGATTTTACTGCTGCTCACTTATCTGAAAGTTTCTCTGCAGGAATATTGATGGGTTTCATCAGGGAGCCTGCTGCACTCATTACAGGTGGCTTTGCCTTCTGAGATCCTGCAGAGCCCTAGGCACAAAAGCCAAGATTTTCAAAAGTGTCCACTAACTTGGGGGTATCTCCATTCTGAGTTGCTCAAATTAAGACATCCTAAAAATAGAGGCACCCAGAGTTTGTGAAAGTTAGGCCATAGAGTTCATGCAGAAAGGGCCACATAGACTCGGATGGAAGGGTAAGCAATTTCCAGAGGATCTACCTCATTCTTGGGAACTTCATCTGAGCAGTTTTGGGGGAATTAGTGTGTATTTGTCTCCATAGCATAGAATATGCTTACAAATATGAGTTAACTTTGTGGAATGATTTTTTAAAAATGGATGCTCAGGCCTATATTTTCAAATGTGATTGAAGATTTTTGGGAGCTTCAATTTGGGGGAACCTCAATTCCAACACCTTAAAGGAGCCTGATTTTCAAGGGGGGAAGGGCTCAAAAGTTTCTGAAAATCGAGTCCATTTAAGGCATGCCTCAAGTTGGGCACCCAAAGTCACTTTTGAAAAAAATTAGGCCCGCTTGACTGCTGTTGAAGAGGCATGCAGTTTATTATAAACTGAATTAGTATATGTCAATGTTAATAATAATTTTTTCTTGCAAAACTATAACATTAATAAGCGCTTGTCTGGAGAAAGAATGTATTACACTGAAATTTACAACTGTTGCTGAAAGATGTAATGCAAAGGTCTCTGATATCTTGGTTTTGGCTGGTTAGGTATCAATTGTAAGAAGTTTATAGAGGATTGTTACTTTTTTTAGAACATGCCCAGATTTAGTTGCAATTTGCATGAACAGAAATACTACATGTTTGATATTTTAATTTATAGTTCGAGAAATGTGCTATGTTTTGGATGAAGACTAGGATATAAGATGTGGCTAGTGAGGAGAGAAAAGGTTTAAGGAAAACTAAACTTTAGTATTTTCTAATGGAGTCCTTTGTCAATACTAAATTATATTAGGCTATAGCACACTGTGTTAAATAAATTAGATTATTATGTGAAAGCTCTGGTGTTTGTTATGAATGAGTCATTTTCCCCGAAGTATGGTTAGAGTACTTTTTTTTTTGTGGACCTGCTGGCACACTTTACTTGGTTGAGTAGTGTCACCACAATTCAACAACTCTTTGAAACCAGTGGAAGATACAAATGCTAATCCATACTGTCTGCTTCAGTGTATCAAGTGTGGCAAAAAAAAAATTTATGGCATTTGTGTAGCTTAAGCCTCACTTTGGAATGAGATACCAGAATCTACTGTTTTGTCAGGTATCTACAGCGGTGGATACTTGGTTTGGTTTAAACCAAAACTGCGATGCTTACCTGAATTAACTGAAAGACCCAGCTTAAAGTGGCATCCCTTCTATTGATCCACAACCCAAGCAACCCTGTTTCCTTCCCCAATTCTCATCTCCAGTTTTCCCTATTTTGATTATTTGCAGTGGGTTTAGGGAAACTTGAGATGCCTTTCCCCCTTCCCAACTGATCCTCCTTAGGAGGAGAGGAGGAAACTTAAGGTCTTTTTACTGACATGCAAAAGAGTGTGTGCTCTAATGATCTACACACTAGACTGGACTCCAGCAAGTTCCTAATTCTAGTCTTGGCTCTGCAACTAACTTTTTCAATGGCTTTGGGCAGACCACTTAACGTCTCAGCCTCAGTTTTTCCAACAGTAAAATGTGTATTGATATTTACCTATCTACCACACAGCAGTGACACTAAGGATTAATTAGTTATTTGTGAAGTACTAAGTATTCTTTACTATGCCTTGTTATTACAACAGCAGTGATGTGAGTCCAGCACTTCATCTGCTCCACTATTGCCGAATTTAAATTTAACGCTCTCCATGGCTATCCTGACTGCCTTTCATGATCTATACCACAAGATTTAGGTTAAGCAGCAGCTCCTGCAGCTCAGCAGAGAGGCTGCCAAAGGTTCTGGGTCCTTCATCCCAATAAAGGAAAAGTAAGGCAGCAATGCTACGGAGAAAGGCACTTAAAGGTGGTCACAGAAAGAGTTCATCAGGGAGGGGGTGAAGCTAGCTAGGGCTTAGTAGAGGATGTCAATGATAGTGTGAGTTGGAGACATTTCCTGTAACCACTGAGCTTTTCATGGGCATTGAGGGGATAAACTGGAGGAGGGATTTAACAAAAAACTTTGCAAACCTTACAGATTTGATTTGGTTTGAAGGATTGATTGAAGATTTGGGCTAATTCTATTTTTAACCACAGAGGTTTGCCCAACTGCAGTTCCAATATGTTTGTTTTTATCCTTGTAAAGTTATAGGCATCTATTTCCTTCTTTAGTACTTCATTAAAAGACTATGGGTTTCCCCTCTTTTGACTGTGTCAAGACTCAGATGTGGTGTGACTCAAAACACCTGCTACCTGAAGCCCTTACTAAACAATAATTGGTAGTTGGTAGGTATCCCTTCTCCATGCAGTCACAATACACTAGTTAAGAACAATGGGATAATTCACTCCACTGAAAAATCACAAAGACATAAAATGAACGTGTCTTATTCTCCCACTTCTGAAGCTTCCAGTGTTTCTCCTTTTATAGTTTTTTCGGTGAGGATATTAATTGTTTAAATATATCTAGTATGCTAATAAAATAAATCCATATAACACATACACAAGAGCACTCTGAAGTGTATGCATTATGGATTCCAAGCCATCACCACATTCTTGACAAAGAGCAGTCTTTAATCCACTCATATGGTGAGCAGCTGGGGAGTTTTTGGAGATGTACTTAACCCCTCTCTCTGTCCAAAGAGTTTGAGATTCAGCAGGTTCTGATAATTACCATGGATGTTACTTCCAACACACATGGCTGTACTGGAAATCAAGCTATCATCTTTCATGTGCAGAGAATCTTTAAGCAGTTATTTTGCTGGCAGGAAAGAATGAGACTGTCTCTCATAAAATACAGTAACCCTTTATTGTCAGGATCTGGGATTTTCCAGTACTAGGGCTGAAAGCATTTGTGTCCAGAAGATATCAACTAAGCTCTCAAGAGGTTAATGCAACTACTCTGGTCAGGCCTTAATTTCATGCTGAAGGAGGCTAGGACGCAGTAGAAAACTGTGGACCCCTGCAGACTACCATAATTACTGTACTAGAGCCCAGGGGCCTGATTCTCCACTCATTTATAGTGGTGTAAATCAGGGATAATTTCACTGAGGTCAGTGGAGTTACACTGGTGTAAGTGAAAGAAAATCAGGCTCCAGATCCCAACCTTATATCAAAATCTGGGGGAACAGAACTCCTCATGACTACTCCCTCGGCCTGAAAAAAAGGCAAGCTCAGATATTAGAGCTGTCACACCAGAGTGCTGGGAGGTGGCAGTCCTTTCAGGGGAAGTGTTTGTCTAGAATACCCAAGATGGTTACTGTTCAGTCTGAAAGAGGCTCAGGATTATATTAGAAAGGGTTGCAAGAGGTATAAGCAACAGCTGAGGTAGAGAGAGGTGTGAGAACTATAGCAGGTGTATACCTCCGGTCATGGGGAAGGACGGACAGTGGGTGGCTGTTCTGTTTAAGAGATGATGCACACATCTGGAGATGCCCAAAAAGCTAAGGGTTGAGAAAGGAAGTCTCTCAATAATGGTTATGTACCAATGATTGAGCAGCTGCAACAGCCTCAGACTTTGGGCAGGCATCTGAGTACCAAAGATTAACTCCACATGTAGCTTCAGATCTACAGCAGATGTAAAGTTTGGTTTCAACAGAACATCTGACCTTCCAAAAATTTATTCCAAGTCTAAATATGCTTGAAAGCAAAAAAATGCATCAATTATCTAAAGCCCACTTGTTCAATTACATTGTCTAACCAAAGTCCCCTTTCCCCCGCCCCTGCTTTAAAGTATTACTTAATAGTATAGGAACAGAAACAGACAGAGTGTGGGTCTTCACGACTGCAACTATTTGAGGACAACTCTGTCATACTTCCCCCTTTTAAAAACAAATATGTAACAATTAAATAACTTTAAAAAACCCTAAAACACCAAGTAATATTTCTTCACCTCCTAGCATGTCTGATCACTCAATACAAGGAGGAGGATCAGGAACCTTGTCTGGTGTAAGGCAGTGCAGTTCCACTGACTCCACTAGAACTATGCAGATTTACATTACCTAAAGATCTAGACCAGGAGTAGGCAACCTATGGCACGTGTGCCGAAGGCGGCACGCGAGCCGATTTTCAGTGGCACTCAACACTGCCTGGGTCCTGGCCACTGGTCCGGGGATCTCTGC